GCCCTGTGCCCAACCCCAGAGGGTGCTGGACGACCGTCTGACAATCATTAAACCAGCTGAGCCTGATTTCCCAACATCCCAGGTAGGACCTGGGCCAAGTGGCACAAAATATGCAAATCACCTGGGGCCAGGAGCCCAGTCTAAAGGCCAGGAAATCCCCTCTGTCCAATGAGCCACCAGCTCAGGTTCCCCAGCTATAAAGGCCTGGCGGGGAGGAGCTCCGAGGTCTATTTAGGGCGGGAGGGGCAGCCGGAGGACGCACTACCTGGCCGAGCTTTTGCCTCCTGCGTTTCTGGCGCCTGCTGTCCCTAAACCCTGCCCGCCTGACTGCCACGCCCGCACCGCAGCTTTGGTAGGTCCCCACCTGCCGCGCTCCACAGCCTGGGTTGGGAAATGGGGGTTGTGGCTCTGGAGTCTGTAGCAGGAGTGTGGGGCGACAGGGGTGTCCTGAGGGTTTGAGAGCCAAGGGATTGTCCCTGGGAAGGACAGGGTGGCCGTGACTCTGTCGTCCCCACTCAAGGGCCCAGGCGAATGAGTCCAGGGAGCCCGGCAGGAAGCCAGGTGCCCCCGCCAGGTTCTGAGATCATGGGGCCGGTCTTAAAGACGGGGTGTCCTGAGAGATGGGGACTTCCATGCCCCCCGGGCCACACCTGCCCAGGCTTCACAGGAACAGAGTAGCTGTAGGACAAGGGGGAGGGGCAGCCCTTCACCGGCCTCCTCTCCCCCCAGGTAGCCCCATGGCTGCAACCTGTGAGATCAGCAACGTTTTCAGCAACTACTTCAGCACTATGTACAGCCCCGAGGACCCCATCCTGGCCTCTGTTCCCCCTGCTGCCTCCTTTGGGGCCGATGACCTCATGCTGTCCCTGAGCAATCCCCAGATGCCGCTGGAGGGCCCAGGTGGGTCTCGCAGGGAGGGGTGCAATTGGGGAGGCGGGCATCCATCTAAGAGGTTAGGTAGCTAGGGGGTCAGGCAAAAGGAGGGGCTCTGAGCGGATTCCAGGGCCCTGCAAGGGCCTTGTTGGGTCGGGGTGCTGGGGTGAGGCGCTGTGATCCCTGTTCCGGGAGGGTCTGCGGTGGCTGCAGTGCCCGCTGACCCTCCTCTGTGCCCGGCCCCTTCTAGAGAAGGCCAGCTGGTTGAGGGAGCAGCCCCAGTTCTGGTCAAAGGCCCAGGTTCTGGACTGGATCAGCTATCAGGTGGAGAAGCACAAGTTTGACGCGAGCACCATCGACTTCTCGCGGTGTGACATGGACGGGGCCACGCTCTGCAGCTGCGCCCCTGAGGAGCTGAGGCTGGTCTTCGGGCCTCTGGGCGACCAGCTCTATTCCCAGCTGTGGGACCTCAGTGAGTGCGGCTCCCTGTGCCCGGGTCTCCTCTCAGGGAGGGAGGCTGGTCCAGAGTTCGGCCCATGTCCAGTGTCCCAAGTTAGTGTGGATGTGGGAAGGACCAGAACCTCAGGCAGGGGTGGGTTGGCCCGTGAGAGCCCCTGAGGGTGAGGGTGGGGTGAGGGGAGGGGGCAGCCTGGGCTCTGACCCTCCCCCTCCCTCCTCAGCCTCCAGCTTTCCCGACGAGCTCAGCTGGATCATTGACCTGCTGGAGCAGGACAGCTTGTCTTTCCAGGAGACGCTGGGGGACCCTGGCCCCTTCGGTGAGCACCCACGCTCTCTCTGCCCCTCCCCACACCTGTCTCCCCGGCTAGAAAGGTCAACAGGTCATCCATCGCAAGTCTGGGTGGCCTTGCCTTGCCCTGCCCGGTCCTCGGAGCCCTGTCTGAACTCTCACCTCTTCTTCCAGACCAGGGAAGCCCCTTCAGCCAGGAGATGCTGGAGGACGGCCGGCAGTCCAGCCCCTACAACCCGGGCAGCTATGGTGCTGGGGCCCCGTCCCCGGGCAGCTCTGACGTCTCCACCGTCTCTAGTGTCTCCACCGCAGGTGAGGGCTCCTCGGGGCCACAGCCTTCCAATCCCCCAAACGCCCGAGCCCTTGGTTCCCAGCTCTGTGGGGGGAACGGAGCTGGCCGGGCAGCATGTCCACAGAGGGTGTGGACTGTGAGGGACTCACTCAGACCCACCTCCCCAGGGACTGGTGCTTCTCTGGGCTCCCACTCCTTGGACTCGGGGGGAAGCGACGTGGACCTTGACCCCACCGACAGCAAGCTGTTCTCCAGGCGTGAGTGGAGGGTGTCCCTGAAGGGGGGCCGCCCCCGCCCAGACCCCCACCCCTCACTCCTGACCTTCCACCTGACCTCACCTGACCTTCACCTGCCCCACAGCTGGCTTCCCCGACTACAAGAAGGGGGACCCGAAGCACGGGAAGCGGAAGCGGGGCCGGCCCCGGAAGCTGAGCAGGGAGTCCCGGGACGGCCTGGAGAGCAGGAAGAGCAAGCACGGTGGGCACCGGGCCCCTGCCCGGAGGCAGAGCGGGCGGGGGGCGGGCACAGGGCTGCCTGGCGTTGCAGAGTCTGGCCTGGCCGTCCTGGAGAGGGGGGAAACTGAGGCTGCGGGAGGGAGGCCCAGCCACTCCCGTTCTCTCTGCACCAGTCCCTGTCCTGCTGGGACACCCTGGGTGCTGTGAGGATGCAGCTGGTGGGTGTGGGGAGGCCCAAGGAGCCACCACGGTGGGTGGTGCCTCGCTGCTGAACTCCCTGCCTGCAGTCCCCACATGGGGCCGGGCTGTTCGCTTCCTGCCCTCGGGGGTCATTGTTCCCAGGACGCTGTCCCCTGGTCCGGGGGCTGGGGTCAGCTCTGGGGTCCTGTACTTGCTGACCGTCACCGGCCGTTGGTGTGTCTGATTTTTAACTGTGGCCCTGCCACTGGTAGCATGTCAGTCACTCCCGCCGGCGACATTTGGGGGGCACGTGCTGGGATGCAGGGCAGGCTCGCGGGCGGGTCCCCGGCTGCTGCTGACGGGTCTCCCTGCAGCCCCCAGAGGCACCCACCTGTGGGAGTTCATCCGGGACATACTGATCTACCCGGAGCTGAACGAGGGCCTGCTGAAGTGGGAGAACCGGCAGGAGGGCGTGTTCAAGTTCCTGCGCTCCGAGGCCGTGGCCCAGCTGTGGGGCCAGAAGAAGAAGAACAGCAGCATGACCTACGAGAAGCTGAGCAGGGCCATGAGGTGAGGGCAGGGCCGGCCGCTGCGGGGCTGGGGACTGCTGCAGGGGCTCCCAGCACGGCCACCTCCAGGCCCACTCGGCAGAGCAGATGGTGCCTGGAGGCTGCGGGAGCTGCACCCAGAGGCACAGGGACTGTCTAAGGACGTCTCGGTGTGGCCTGCGAGACGTAGCAGGGAAGGCGCTCTGGGATCAAAGACCGTTTGTTAGCGGGCCCCACACCTGTCCCCTGTTGAAGCAATCAAGCTGCTTGTCTCTGGGCCTCGGTTTTCCCTTAGATCAGGGGCAGGGAACCTTTTTTCCACCAAGGGCCATTTGGATATTTATAAACATCGTTCTCGAGCCAGACAAAGTTATCAGCTTAGAAATTAGCCTGTTCTATTTGGTCAAACATTTCATTAGCTCGTCCCTAATGTGATGGCTGGAACAGCTCCTCTCTGGTGAAGGGCTTTGGCAGGGCCAGACCAAAGGATTTCACAGGGTCCGAGGGTCGGACGTCCCCCACCCACGCCCTAGATCTTCTCTAAGGTCCCTTCCAGCTCTGAAATCATGTGGTTTCATGACAGGCCCCCAGGCACCACCATAGATATAGAAAAGCAGGGGCAGCCGGTCCCCGGGAGGCAGTTCTAGGCGAGAAAGTGTGTCAGGCTCAGGTTGGTGGGGCTGGAACCCAGTGGGGACGGGTCACCCCAGGTGGGTAGCAGGGCCAGGTGAGGGCTTGGCAGTGGGGGTGCACCCTGCCTGGGCCCCTCTGACGCCCACGTCCGTTCAGGTACTATTACAAACGGGAGATCCTGGAGCGGGTGGACGGTCGGCGGCTCGTCTACAAGTTCGGCAAAAACTCCAGCGGCTGGAAGGAGGAAGAGGTGGTCGGAAGTCGGAACTGAGGGTCTGAGTGGATCTGGGACAGACGCGTGAACTTGAGGCCGGTGGCCCCTGTCGGAGGACTGCTGTTCTGTGGAGGCAGCGGAGGCCCTGGGGTCTCCTCGGCCGCCGCCTTGTGGAATTACAAGCCTGGAGTTTGAAGTGACTTGTTTGCTGACGATGCCCCAAGGGTGGCTCCTGTGGGGCCTCCTGACGCCCAATCCAGACCCCAGCTGCAAACGCCGTCTTCCTCCCGCAGGTGCCTGCACGGAGGCCGGGAGGCCGGGGGAGGCCCGGGGCTCCGTCAGTGACGGGACGGGGCCCTGCACCTTCCCTCTGGACTGGCTCCACCTCCCTCCCAGTGCGTGGGCTCCGCAGGCGGGGGTCAGAGCACTCCCTAATTTATGTGCTATAGACACGTCAGATGTACATAGAGATCTATTTTTTCTAAGACATCCCCCTGACTGTTCTCGGCCCTGGGCTGGGCCAGCGGGGGGTGGGGGTGGCGGATGCTCAGGATGGGGCTCTGGCGGCTCCTTTCTCCTGAGCGGAGGCAGAGACCTCCAATAAAGTGCCTTCTGGGCTTTTTGTAACCATTGTTCTAGCTCCCTGTGCACTGACGTGTGGGTAAGGACATGGGCATCGGATAAGGTCAGAGGTGAGGGAGGGGACCGGGGTCTGAGGGTCACGCGAAGGCAGAGACAGGCGTGTAGGGTAGGGGTCCTAGAGCCAGGTGGGCTGGGGGCTGGGAGGAAAGGAAAGGGGACCCTGTTCACGACTGAAGAGGCTACAGGGCTTCACTCCAGCAGGAACGTGAGCTCTGCAGGCCGCTCGGGGCCATGTGCTGTCAGGACACAGTGCTCGGTGAGCTGGGCCACGTCCGTCCCCTTTGGCTGGTTCGGGCCGACATTGTAAGAGTCTAGACATGCATGTCTGGCCTTCAGCAGGGCCACGTCTGTCCCTTCTGGCAGCTGTGAGGTGGGTTTGGGCCGATGCTGTAGGAGTCTAGACGTGCATGTCCGGCCTTGCGGAAGAGGCCTTCTGCATTCCAGCCACGCCAGCCACGAGCTGTGTGTCTGCGATAGGACCCGGCTTTTGTCATCTAACATGGAATCAGAGTGACCATCTTGTGGAGGGAAAACAGCAGAACAGAAATGAGACTTGACCGGAAGAGATGGGACGAGACGGCCATTTGGAAGCCTCGTGTGCTCTGGGAGCTGGGCCCCCACTTAATCCCCTCCAGAGGAGGGAGGAGGGATTTGTCATGCCCACTTCACGGATGCAGATGGCGAGGCTCAGTACGCCAGGGGCCTGGTCAGGGCCAAGCGGCTGTGACTGGTCCTCTTGCGGCTTCCCTGGGCCCGCTGCGGGGCTCAGCCCTCTGACCCAATGCTCAGCAGCTCCTGGACCTGTGCTTCGGCCACATGGTGACACAGTGACCGTGCCTCTAGGCTGTGCAGGGGATGGTTCCCTGCACATAGCTTCCTTACAGAGAATGGCTTCCAGATCCCATAGAGCCGAAGGGATATGGGGAAGGTAGGGCTCTTAGGACAATGTTTGTGTGTGTGGTGTGTGAAAACAGGGACAGCCAGTACAGTGGGGAAGCCAGCTGGCAGAGCAGCGGGGTCATGGAAGATCCTAGAATCCCCTGCAGCCATTGGGAAGGTGTGTCCCTCTGAAGTGTACCAAGTGTATGGTTGGCCCCAGAGGTGATGGGGGAGGGCACAAGTTTTGCCCTAGACACACCTGGCTCACGCCAGCCAGGCCCCTGAGAGACGCCTTTGGCAACCTAACAGTACCCCGTGTGGTGGCACTGAGCTCATTTTGCACCCACGGTATCTTGGGGACCCCTACGGGGGTCACCTGTGTTGCCTCGAGGACCCAGGGCACAGCCACTCCGCCTGCCACCACTTGGCCTGCCTCCATCCCGCCTCTTCTGCTCTAAGGGGCAGACGGGTAGGCGGGAAAGTGGGGCCCAGCCCCTTCGTCCCTACCGGAGGGCGGTGCTGCCCAGCTCACGCTCTGACCTTTGCCCAGTTTCGGTTTATGGAGTGCTTTCCTTGTCTCAGTATTGCCTTTGGTACGCACCACAGCCCTCTGAGGAGACGGGGCGGACCCACGCTTCTGACGGGGCTGGTCCAAGGTCACCGGCCGGGTGAAGAGGGGACCAGAGCCCAGGACTCCTGCCGGCAGGTGGGAGCCCAGGGGCAGCACCCCTGCTGTGGCTCCTCGAGGGGGACTGGAAGCACCTGGGCAGTGCTGGGGAGGGCGGAAGGGGTCCTCGGCTCCCCCCAGAGGGACATAATCTTACTTACAATGTTTTTTCCAACATTGCTCTCCTCCCTCTTGTCTCCCAGGACCCTGCAGAGCTGGGCACACACCCTGGGCTGGCCTTTCTCACCCAGTCCTGGGCGCCCTCTCTGTTGGATGTCAGCCATCCTTACTCCCAACTGTCACCGGCTCAGGGGCCACTGCAGGCTGGCACCCAGACTCGGCCCCTCTCCACTGAGGTGGCCTCTCCCTGGGTGTGGCTGGGCTGTTTCGATCCTGCCCAGAGCAGCTGGTCACCTCTTATCTGCTTCTGTGAAATCGTGCGCTTCTGGGCAGGTCAGAGGGAGGTCACCCCTCCTGAGTTTGGGTGTGCCTGCCCTCGGGCCTCCCGGGACAGTTCCCGGATTCTCCCGGGGCCCTCCACCCAATTCAGGGGAAACTAGCTTCACCTGCTCTCCTGGGCGAGGTGGGTAAAGTGGTTGTATTTTTGAGGGTTTTTTTCAATCTGCCCTTTTATTCCAGTCACCTGTTGACGAGCTCTCTCCTGACCACTCGTCAGCACCCCTGGGCAAGGACGGGGCTTACTCATCTCAGCCCCTCGCCCAGGGCCTGGCACAGAACAGACGCTCAACAAATATTTGTTAAACAGCCTGTGACTCTGCCCGGCCACCACCTCCCCCTGTGCACACACTCAACATGCACACTCACACACACTCACACGACGTCAGTCACACAAACAGGCTTCAGAGAGGTTGGGAAGCAGCTCACGTCTTCGGAGCTGGTGCGTTTAGGACACCAGGGCTCCGAGCCTGGCTTCCTGACCCTCCTTCCTCAGCCTCACCCCTGACTCTGCTGCCGAAACCCACCAGTAGCCCTGCATTTGAGAAGTGCCCAGGGACAGACAGACAGACTGCCTGGGGTGCATGGTTCCATCGGATCTCATTCTCGGGGATTCCTTGAGCCTGAGGGGGATGGGGAGTGGGTTTTCCCTTACTGAGATCTTCCTAAGACCATCTCTTGGGAGTGTTGCCTCCTCGCCTTGTACACCCCCCTTCCTCCCTTCCTCCAGGCCCCTTC